CTATAGCACATTTCTAATAGGTTTAACGAATTACATGTCATTTATTTTAATTCAAATTTATTTCAATGACTTAGTATTTACGAAAAAGATGTAAATTTTAAAAAAAAAAGAAAGTTGTTATATGGATTTCAATGAGTGTTTTGAATTCTTAGAATTTTGTGCATTTGCAATGTACCTAAGTTAGTAGCGAGCGAAGCGAGCTTGGTTTGCGAAGCAAACCATATAAGACTGCGTAGCAATTTTCGGGTGTTGGCGAGAGTTAGCGAGTAGGGGGCGCAGCCCACTAGTTCTAATATATTTTTTTTTTCAAGAAATTCTTATGGGTTCATTTGAAAATCTTCAAATCAGTTCAGTTTCAAATTCAGTTCTCAACTTTTTAAAATAAATTATTCTAAATAATGATTTGAGTGACTTCATTTTAATCGATTGTTTTGAACAAAATATGTTCATTCTTTTCTACACAGATTCAAATCGAGAATTCTTACATGTTGATTTAACTATTGATATATTTAAATTTAGTTATAATTTTATTGAACGAATTAATGTGTAACCATAACACCTCCACGTTTTACTAATTAATCCATTAGAATCATCCATTCTTTTTTTTTTCATGGCTTCATTGAAATCTCAGATTCCACTTTTATTAATTAAACGGATAGAAATACTAATTAGTGAAGATAAATACGGAAAGAAAAAACATATTTTCCCATTCACTGCATGATATAATGCTTCATTAACTTCATACATTCGACCATCTTCACTGATTTCAAGAATCCGCCCTGAAAATAATTAATTCTTGTAACATTGATGAACACATTTATGTAAACATCAACGAAAATCGTCGATTTTAAATTACACATCAATCACAATCATCTGTATATGAATCACTATTAAATCACTCTAATTAACATCTGAAGATGACTTTTCTTAAATTATATTGTAGTTGCCGACTATCACAAGATTTCCTCCAGACACCAGATTCACTTCATGATGGTTAGTTAGGTTACACTTTCTAATAAACTTCTAAATGATAGTAACAGAGACTATGGTAACTGCAAATAATACCTATATGGTCATGTTATATTAAAATATTTTTGAGTGGTATGATACCATCGACGAATACTCATCAAATCAAATATGAGGTATTTTAAATAAGGATTAACAGTTTTGCATTGGTTGATATTGAGAAAGTCGTATAATTTTTTTCAATTCTCCCCCATTAGAAATAGATTTACTCTTATTTCCATAACAGCAAAACATCCTCAAACTTTCAGTCAAGAGGATTTCTCCGGTTTGCTAGACAGTATTTAGTTCAAAATAAGCTAAAATAACCTATCTAGTTAAAAAGTGGTCATAATTTGATTAAAAGATTTCACCATCACGTTATAACTGTTCCGGAATTGTGGAAATGAAATATATGCATACTAATGGACCATTAATTCGATTCTAAAAACGTGGAACTGTTATCAGATGGCTTTTTTCAGCTAAAATCGCTTCGCCAATTCATTGGATACTAATATAGTTTAGTCTAGCTTTGTATAAACATTGGTACTCTTACTGAAAGGAATTTCTGAAATCATGCATAATCACTGTTTTTAGGCGATAACCCTTTAAATCGTTATGAACTCGTGAAATGTAAGTAAACTAAGTGAAAAGGTGAGAAAATGAGAAAAAGCCTGGCAACTAAGTAAAAAAATGAAGGTAATATCCAAAGTTAAAATGAAAGTTTAGGTGGAATGGATTAGATCGATATTCAACATAAGTAACATAAAATCCCGAAAATTTATAAAATTTACCTTCATGCTCAATTGTAAATTTTTAAGTTGAATCACAGCAAGGACTGAATTAAAGCATTCTATCCTTGAAAAATGTGCACCCAACATATTCTTTTTTCGGCAATATTTCTGGATGATTTTCGCAGATTACGACTATCTTCCGACTTCCGCAGTTTCATTAAAACACCTTTCCCTCTTGCGTTAATCATTGAACCATACAAACCAAACTATAACAGCTAATTATTTTACAATCTGCGAATGTAATTGATTATAACTTAACTTAAACGAAAGTATAGCACACAATTTGTTTACATTAGCTTCTCATTTCTGACCAGCTCATAGCTGAATTTTTGTTTTTGAATTTTTTTCAGCTTTTCATTGCCAATTCCAAAAAAAATAGGTATTGTGATCATAACATAATTTAACCTAACAATTTATTTACATGTTCTATACACCGAAGAGCCATTGCATTATGACCACCCTGCTAATAACATGTAAAACCACATTCAGCCCTCAAAACTGCTAGCACCCGCCGTGGCATTGATTCCACAAGGTGCTGATAGTCTGAGGTATCTGGTACCAAGCGCTCACCAACTGGTCCTGCAATTCCCTCACATTGCGAGGTGGTAGCGTGGCAGCACGAATTTGGTTTTCCAAGTAGGACCACAAATGCTCTATTGGATTAAGGTCAGGTGAATTTGGGAGCCAAGACATGACTTGAAAGTCATTGGAATGTTCCTCTACGAGTCGACCCTTATGACATGGTGCATTATCCTGTTTGTAAACACCAACCCCAGCAAGAAAAGCTGTTGCCATGAATGGGTGAACCTGGTCTGCAATTATGTTCAAGTAGGTTATAGACGTCAGGGATTGTTCTGTGAGGATTATGGGTCATAATGTGCCCCATGAAAACATTGTTCCTGGGCGAGAAACCATGAAAACCTGGCCGAGACCATTGTTATAGATGGAGGGTGGTCATAATGTAATGGCTCTTCGGTGTATATTGGTTTTAAGATCATGATGTAATTCAACTTATGTAATGCAATGTAATTCAACTTATAATTGTCTTTCAGGTGAGGGATACTTTTAAGCACCAATTTAATCCCATTGAAGAATTGGGCATACTCTTTCCATTCCTTTCCAAAATTCTTCACTTGTTTGACGATTTGTTCATATTTAAGAAATCTCTAAACACTATAGCTGATCATTTGAAAGTCGTCATGAAAGAGAGGCGTCAAAACCCGAATCTAAGAAGTTTGGACATTCTTCAGTCAATACTGGACAGCTGTGATAGTGTTTCAGGTAAGTCATCGGATTCAGAACTCCTTTAAAAGTGTGTATTAAATGACCTGAATACCTGTTTACAAGGTAAGAAGAAAACCAATAATGAATATATCGAGATTAAGTAACACTATGCAATCATATATGTAGTAGAATCGGAGTAGAATCGGTTAAAATAATTCTGTTATCATTTTATTATTATTTGTTGCCCTTCCTTGTTTTGCGTTATTAAATAAATAAGCAAAATAAATTTATTCAAAGTTCAACTTATCAAAATAAAGGTAAATTGCACTTAGTAATTTATCGGCATCCAATTGATACTACTATTTATTGATAGCGGCTAACACATGATTGATGAAATTTACCACAATAAAGCAATCTCCTCGATAAATTTGCACTAAATTTGCATCTATTTCAATTACTACTGATGTTTTAATACTTAGATTTATTGAAAAACTTTTCAAAAATGTAACTGTAAAGAAAATAATGACGACGCTTCAGAGAGTTTTCAAATTAAGGTGATCATTTTAGCCCAGGTTAATTATTCTTCAGCTTAAGTGTGATACTGAATAAAATCTAATTAATTATTAAAGAATGTGCAATAGACTCCGTTTTTATTTAAGCGAAGTTGAATGGATACTATCTTTTAAGTGAATAGAGAGAAAAAGTGTCTGCGCCTTAATTTGTGTGAGCGCTTAATGCTAATCCTGTTCGAAAAATTCATTTTTCGGGCATCCCCAGAGCACAGCAGACAGTTCTGGAGTCGTTATGCACACATAAGTACAGACAAACTTTCGTTTTATTATTATAGATAAAGATATACAATCTGTTTCATAACATCTGCCCTCTTAATCAACATTTTCAGTATCCTACCAAAAGTGAACTAGATAGATAGATAGATAGATTATATATTATGTATTGATAACGGTCTCGGTGACATCCCTGGGGATAATCCGAAGACATACCATCGCGATTTTGATCCTCTGCAGAGGGGATTGACTCTGTTGCTTTATTAGCCCGACGACCTGCGAGTGAAGTCGAGCACTTTACTGTAGAACAGTTTAACGAGGACCGATATCGTACACCCTCGGTCCATACGCAGGCTGATCAAAGTGGTCGCCCTCCAGCTTACTGACAGCAGCCAGTGATGCTTGACGCTTGACTTAAGTGTTTAACTGGGAACCGTGTGCCTACGATCAGTCCACTGTGGGACTTATATATANAAGATCCATTGCCCGGTATTCTCTACCCTGATGACCAGATTAAAAATATATAATATCAACTAAATGAGATGGTTAGAGAAAAATTTGGGTTTCATAAATTTATTTGTTGAATATGACCATCAACTCAGTAATATTTTTTTTTCAAAAAATATATCTATAAATAAATAATTTTTGTTATAAAAAAATGAAATGTGCTATTTCCGTGGAAGGTATATTTCATAGCTTGCCTTAGAACATCAGGAATTATATATAATATGGCATTTAATACATTACTTATAACATATACATTTTATTAATATGGCTTTATTGACCAGTCTGCTTAAGTCCATTTCATAACTTGCTTAAGAATGCCAACATTATATACAATGATGTCATTCAATACGTTAGCTGTAACATAGATATAATATTAATATGGTCTTACTGACCAGTCTGTTTAGGTTCATTTCATAACGTGCTTAAGAATGCCAAGCAATGTATACAATGATGGCATTTAATACATTGGTTGTAGCATTTATATATATATATATAGATAGATAGATAGATAGATAGATAGATATAGATATAGATATAGATATAGATAGATAGATAGATAGATAAATATTAAGAATCCTTGTTGTGTGAAATATCGAGAGAACTTCATGCAACCCATGGCCACAAAATAATATTTAGTGAGAAAAACAGATTATTGAAGCCCGGTGAATCACTCTTGAGGAAAGTGAGATGAAAAGCATCAAAATTAGTTAGATCACTCAATGAAACGGGAAGCTGTTTTTAATAATCGTTTTTCATCTCTTCTCAGCTTCATTTGGCAATCAAGCATAGATTTTGATGTTAATACCACTCCTCATTTCGTCCCCCGTCAAGTTTTGACGTCATTTTTTTTGTTTTCTTAAATATTATTTTGAGGCTCTTAAACCTTTGCTTGCGTCACTTAGTATGTTGAAGCCTGTCAATCTGGTCAACTTGTTGTACCAGCCGTAAGTAAAAGCTTATGAAATGTTAGTTTATTTTTACTTTTTTTTCGAAAGGGATTCCGAAAGGGTGAGCCAGGAAACAAAATACCAATAGATGTCAAGGGCAAACACTTACACCCTATATTTGCTGGAATTTACCACGCCATATTTTTTTCTTTAAGATTTCATTCTATAACACTGTTTCCCTACTTTTATTTTCTTTTACAGATGGAAATGGTACAAAACTGACTGAAGAGGAAGCTATAGCGAACGCTCTTGTTGTCCTTCTAGCAGGCTATAACACAACGGCTAACTCCCTAGGGTTCACATTCTTCTTATTAGCCACACACCCAGAAATACAAGATCGTCTGTATCAAGAGATCCGACAGGCTAGAGATACTTCCTATTCTACACTGCAAAGTAATTTAGCAACTCTTTTCAATACCAGTATTCAATGAGTTTTTAATCTTGAAATACCTGAATTTTCTTTGCTTCATGATTTTCGTTAATTTTCTAGATATGACCTATTTGGATCAAGTATACAGCGAGTCGCTCCGTGTATATCCTCCTGTCACTGGTTTCATCCATAGAAAATGCGACAGGGACTACGATTTGGGACCATATACCATACCCAAGGGGGCAAATATCATAGCTCCAGTTTGGAATATTCATCATGATCCGAATTTGTGGCCTGATCCAAATAAATTTGATCCAGATCGCTTTTCACCGACTAATAAAGGATCCATTCAAAGCATGTCTTATTTCCCTTTTGGAGCAGGTCCGAGGAATTGTATTGGATCTCGCTTCGCACAGTTGGAGGCGAAAATAGCTATATACAGAATTTTGCAGAAAGTGAAATTGGAACCTTGTGAGAAAACAGATAACCCCCTGTCTCTTGTCTGCGCTGCTTTTACGATACTTCCAGTAAATGGTGTATGGCTAAAAGCGACGCCAAGAAATCCATGTTAAAATATACAATAAAAATAGTGACAACTAATCATCTTTTTCACTTTGTGACATAGTAAAGTTAACTGTTGTTGTTGTTGTTGTCTTGTCTGTGACAAGTATTTCCAAACGTTTGAAGAATGAGTTTTGCAAGTTCTAGCTCCTAAAGACAGTACAGGATGTGGTGAGACGAGTTCAAAAAACGCGATCAGGATTGCTTGACAGTTATAAGATAAAGTTTATTGACAAGGAATTTAATTAATATGCAATATAATAAAGAAGCGAGAAGATATTTTATAAAAGTATTTAATAAAAAATAATGAACAGCGACATATAAGTTGAGTATTGAGTATAGTTAAGTGCGACGAGCTCTCTGCTTATCGCTTATAGCTCTGCCGACATATATGTTTTTGGGAAGCGTTCTGTTTTCGTATCTGAATGTTGGCACCTTTTTTTTATAAAAGTTAAACTATTCTCTGCTGTAGTAAAATTAAACTTATGCGAACCTTACACAGTTGAAAACGTGTTTTGACTTCGCGTGCAGCTCGTCGCGCTACCGAAGCGGGGATGCCATCCCCTTTTCAGAGAATCAAAATTGTGTCTTCGGATCGTCCTCAGGGATGTTTCCCAGACCGTCGCCAATAGCCCGTTGTGCAGCTCTAGTGCGACTTAAATGAACTACAACAACAACAATAATTTTTCAAAAAGATAAAAATTGGTGACTCAATTATTTCATTTTTTTAAATTTATTTCTGTGAAAAAAGATACATTTTTCTTCACTGAATATAACTATTTTATTTTGATAAAAAAAAATTATGCATTTGCAATGTTTAAAAGGAACTGAAATGGAAAATTAGAAATCATCAACTTAGCAAAGCGCAATTTCGGGGCCTTTTAAATATTACGTAAGCATATATTTTGGCGATTCAGACCCTTCCTCCCCCTTTTCAGAAAACCACAAAAGTAAGAAAATCGCTATCAACCACCCCTCTGAGTTTTGCCTTGATGTACTTTTAATGGAAATTAACTATAGTAATCTAATTTTAGGATTAAATTCAAGTAAACTTAGCTCAAAATCTACATTTTAATTAATTTTATGAGGTTTTTCTAAATAAATACTTTTTAGAAATCCTTTGGATTTTCCTTTTGTGTCCAAAACTTTTGACTCTTTAAAAAAAATTTCTTTCAATTCATTTCCCTGGAATTCAGTTCTTATTCCCAAATTTTTTTGTGTGCAATATTTGTTGTCACATATTTCTTTTTCTTTTTACTTCAGATATAATAAGAGGGTTTTAATATCTTACGTAAATATTGTTCACTACCCTCCTCCCCCCGTAAGTTTCAATTGTAACATTTGAACCGCCCCGTTCCTATAACTCTTTCCAAATGGGTACTTTTTATATCACTGCGAAACTTTTCGGAAGCGTAACGTGAGCGAGGCATGGGTATAGAGAAATGTTCATCATTGTAAATTAAGTATCTTTATATGGAGAATTTAAAGTACTTAGTGTAGGAATAAATCAACATAGAATTTACTTTAATGTATCTTGGTGTATTTTCAGAGCTTAAATTTATATTCTTACAAACTTTTATTATTTATAAATAACGCGGCTCTCTAGAGCTCTGCGAAAGTGATATTCAGAAATAAATAAATTTTATAAAAATATAAGACTATCGAACCGAAACACTACTAATCGAGAAAGAATTGCGCAATATTTCTTTCTATTTCCCCCAACAATTATCAAAATTCTTCATTTTAGTTTCATGGAAGGTATGAAACATTTTGTAACTAACAGATAAAACCTTAAAACTGAATATTTGCAAATTTTTTCCTTCTTTTTTCGAAAGGATTAGAAAATTTAGCTCAAATTCCTTGGCAATTCGTAACATTAACTTTTTACCAGTGAAGTACAAGTTATTTTTAAGAGTTTATTAAAAAATGATTAACTAATGCATTTTGAAGAATTTTGTGAGAGTGCATAATTTTATTTTATTTTATAACTGTCGTTGAGCAGTAGATCTAATTTTTAAAATTACGACCATCAATGTTCAACTCCGTAGCCTTGTAATTCAGAACCCAATCCAGAAGACAAGGGAACACCTGATCAAGTATTGAAAAAATTGGCCTTCATGGAGGACTTTTTTTGAAGGAACAAATCCGCATTTGCGTTACATGGAGAGGAAAACAACTAAATCCTCCCACAGTAAACCTGATGGCAAGGGAACTCTAACCTGCGATCCGTCTACCACTGAAGATATTTTTTGTCAGCATGGTGGTCGGTGTGAGCCGGGTGCGGAATTCGTATCGACCAGCCATTTCCGGAATTCGAGCCCTAGGCCCCAGATTGGGAGGCGAGTGCTCTATTCCCTGAGCCAGAATAGCTCAAGCAGCATAATTTAACAAATACAAAGCATTTTAGTTTTCGATATTAAAAAAAATTCCTTAAATTCAAAACATCAATTTTTCCTATCCCCCTCCGCTCAACACTAGAAAGACTGAAATACTTATATTGCCAAAAGCAGTCAAAAAATTGCGAAAGAATAATGTATAAAGAAATTTACTTAAAATTAATTTTAAATATTTTTTTAACATTATTTTCAGTTATATAACAAGTTATTAGTAAATATTAACTAAAATTCAAAATTATATGTTGTACGAAAAGTCACAAAATTCTAAGAAATTGAGTCGTCATTGTTTTTCTAATCAAATTAAAAAAGCAATCAAAATGACTTCCTTGGGCAATCTAGTGCTAAGTATTCATGACATACAGTCACTATTCGTATATTTAGTGTCTAGAACATTAATAGAACATGGATATTTATTGGTTAAAACATGAATTAGAACAGATTAATAAAATTTAACGGAGTGTCTTGTCTTTTTCTTCTTTTTCTTCTGTTTGAAGAGAGAAGAGATAACCATTGTCTTGTGCTTGTGTTTGTGGATGGCGAACAGAACTGTTGTACAGATTATCTCTATCAGTTCGTAGACTGTGAGGAGGGAAAATCCTAACCATACTCCGCTGTATCCTCCCAAGTAACTGAACAGCTCCATTGTCTGCAAATATATTACACTTGATCAATCAGCTGAACTATTTATGATTCTAATAGCATATATCCGAACAACATAAGAGCATACATCACTAAACAACATATACACCGAAGAACCATTACATTATGACCACCCTCCATCTACAACAATGGGCTCGCCCAGATTTTCATGGTTTCTCGCCCAGGAACAATGTTTTCATGGGGCACATTAGGACCCATAATCCTCATAGAACAATCCCTGGCGTCTGTAAGCTACTTGAACATAATTGCAGACCAGGTTCACCCATTCATGTCAACAGTTTTTCCTGCGGGGGATGGTGTTTACCAACAGGATAATGCACCATGTCATAAGGGTCGAATCGTCATGGATTGGTTCGAGGAACATTCCAGTGACTTTCAAGCCATGTCTTGGCCCTCAAATTCCCCTGACCTTAATCCAATAGAGCATTTGTGGTCCTACTTGGAAAATCAAATTCGTGCTGCCACGCTACCCCCTCGCAATGTGAGGGAATTGAAGGACCAGTTGGTGAGAGCTTGGTACCAGATACCTCAGACCACCTATCAGCACCTTGTGGAATCAATGCCACTGCTGGTGCTAGCAGTTTCGAGGGCTAAAGGTGGTCCTACATGTTATTATCAGGGTGGTCATAATGTAATGGCTCTTTGGTGTATATCTAAATAGCATAAAAAGATGATGGTATAAAACAGTTTCACTTTGTTTTCGATGCATTCTTATTGGTTAAAAACATCGTATGGCACAATATAAACAGAAGTATGAAACAATCATATTTCATGCTTTCACGTTTTGTCACTAGCTGTAAAAAATGTAAAATAATATAAGAAATGCAATGTAATAAAAAATATTTCATCATTTTCTACTTCGTGTTCGATTTTGTGAATGGTATATTATGCTGGTCTTTCTACTTTGTAATTAAGATCTGAAAAAAAATATTAAAACGTTCCTAGTCAATAATAACGTAATGCAGCATGTCAAATTAATTTTTAAAAAAAATTTTTTTGCATCAGTTTTCTAGCATCATTTCTTAGATATTCATTATTAACTTTCAAGTTAGAGAAAATGCGTTGCGTTGTAATGTAACTAGCCACCCAGACCCCAAAGTCAGAGAGACGATTTTCCAATCCAGCGACTTTTAATTTGAATTTTTCTTAAATATAGAAAATTTGATTCTTGATCTTATTTTAGATCAGGTAGCAAACTTTAAACGAAATAAAAGCTTACATTGACTACAGTCAATTACAGTCAGGAGGAAAATCTCCAAAAAAGAGAACAGTAAATTAGCGTCCGAGAGTTAAACCCCGTAATGTTTATACTTAATGTTGAAATAAGTTAGGAAAGCACACAAGACAACATTTGTGGTGTGTCTATTTTCTTAAATAAGCATTTTTCGATGTGTCCGCTTTTTTAAATACGCATTTTTCGTTCTGTCCATTTTCTAAAATACTCATTTTGTGGCGTGTCTTTTTTCGTAAATACGCATTTTGAAGTGAGTTCGTTTTCTTGTTTACGAATTTTGAACTATATATTTTTTTTTCTTAAATACGCATTTCAAGCAATTTTCTTTTTCGTAAACCTTACTTTCCATTTTTGAGCACTTTTTTAAGGACGCATTTCGAGTTGCGTCCAAAAATAAAAATTTAATCAACGATATTTTGTCGCTGAAGCCCTAATTGTTGTCTCATTAAAGTAATCAAACTTACATTGTATTTTGGTAAATGCCTATACTTTTTATGTTCCAGTGTAGAGTAAAAGATCTTCACCGTAGCCAGGTTTTTCCTGCAAAAAGTTACCCAATGGATTTATTTTCAAACATAAATATAATAGATATAAAATTTCAAGAGTAATTAAAATCTTACATTTTATCCTCCCAGGATCGATTCATATGAGAATGTATATGATGATTATACTAAAATAAATAAAGTATGTTACTCTCTGTCATGCAGACATTGGATGTTGCCGCTAATAGATAAATAAATAAAATAAGTGTCTCTGATAGATGTTCGGAGAAGTATATCTGTACAGTAATTGAAAAACTACGTCTTTCAAGTATAAAAGAGAAGGAAAAAAAATTTCGACCTAAAAACGGAAATTTGTCCATTTCTATGCTTAACGAACTGAAAAAAACGAAAAGCTGTACTTTCATTTGTGTTTTACTCATGTTATGTTTTCGCTTTAATCTATTTAAAGATATATACTTTAATTGGCAATGAAATCGTTTTGTCAATAATTTTGATTAAGTATTTTTAATGATTTATTAATAAAAGCTACTTTTTATGTCCCGATGATATTTATCATTCTAAAAGCAACACCTCTTAGTCGTAATCATAATTTAGCTAATAAAGCGCTAATAATAACTTTTTTTATATATATTTGAATGTTAAAATAAACATTTAATGCATGAAAAATATGCGTGGCACAGGTTCCAAATTTTAATTTCTGCTTTTCTTTCCTATTTAATGCGAAATAATATTCGGCCATCATGAAACTATGTATTACCATACTAAATTAGTTTATTTCCCACTAAACAACTCTTTGCCCACTGTGGACTTCGATTAGCGTCCATAATCGTAAAGTCAATTTTTATTTTCTATAACATGTAAAATTAAAGATCAAATTTATTACATGAAACTCTCTCACATTATGATAAACAAATGTTTTTTTCCCTTCATACTCATACTTTTGCAACAGAATTATTTTTACTGAGCGCCATCTAGTTAAGACAAGAACAATTCAAAGGCAGTCAACCTCGAACTGCGGTGGATCCAACATTTTGTCTCCGAAGGACAAAAAAAATAATGACGACTAGGAAAACTTAAATATCTCTAAGAGGATCTAGTGAAAAAAAGAACGATTTACCAGCAGTCAACCTCGAGCTGCTATGGGTCTAACATTTTGTCTCCGAAAGACGAAAAAAATAATGACGACTTGGAAATTCTAAATTTCTAAAAGAGGGGGAATATACTTACAAACTCTGTGTCTGTTAAAACTGTATCGACTTCAGATACTTCAAATACAGTGTCTCTTGGATCAGACATGAAATTATAAGAACAGTTTAGTTGATATGCAAGCAACCATTAAAATTTCCTCACACAAATTATTCATTTAACTTTTATATATTGTAAAAAGCAGGAATTACGAAAAAAAACTATCTTTTAACGACAGCACAGAAAAGTTATTTGTTGTTATCAGAATCCCCATAACCCTACTTTTACTGCCTCAATAAGGCCAAATGTAATAAGAATTTGTCTAAATACAAAGAGAAGTCTTTTCGGAAATTGAAGTTTCTTGAATTGAAAGTCTACTTCAATGCGATGAAGATATAAGTCGAGATATCATAACTTCTTCTCCTACTCATCCTAAGTGAAAATGACTCCTTTTTAGAAAAATAATGGATGCATGTTGTTCTTTCAGCATATTGGGGATGAAATTTAAAAATTCTTCAATTAATAACCTCTAGATGTGCTCCAATTCTGAGACAGTATTAATTGGAGAGTTCGTCCGAGCTGAAGATAGATCTGTTTAATTTTATAAACTTTATCATTTCAAAGAGAGCTCAGGTGAACAGCATGTCTTTTGGCGAATGTTGTTGTCATATCGGAATGTTGCTTTCATATGCGTTTCTGCCCTTTTTTCCTTCCATCCATATGATTCTCATTATTCCCTGATGAGAATATATGAACAACCCAACCAGTTACCCATCTATTAAATCATTATGTTGTATCATTCCTTATTTATATGTTTAATCAAATGTAGTTTATCAAATTTTCATTTTTTAAACTCATGATAAGAGCTTGCTTTTCGACTTAGATTATTTCAAACTTATTTTCAAGTCATCTTTTTCAACGCGTATAGGACGTAGAAGGTCCCGCAGTGGACTGATCGTTAAGACACGGCTCCCAGCAGATCACCGAAGTCAAGCATCATTGGCTACGGTCAGTGTGCGGGTNAAGTATTAACCTAATACCAAGTTTATGTATGATTGTAATATGCTTAGATGTAATCAAAATTATTTATTTATTTAATAATTGATTATTATACACAATTTTATTCCGTATATCAGCAGCAAAAAATTTTTTGCTTCTTTCTACAGTGGATAAAAAGAATTAATTTAAGCAATTTATGGTCTATCTGACATAAAGGCTTAAGTTGAGTTACTTACTATTAACTTAACATGATTGTTTTTTAAACTTCTAAGGTAATAAGTCATTTTCCTGGCATTTAAGATTTGGTGAATTTCTATTTTATTTTTTTCTCAAGCAAATGTCAATAAACTACACTGTCATCTATAAGACATTAATAAGCGTAGCTAAAGAAGTATACAAAAAAAATTTTAGATTATTTTGAAGACTTTAAATTTTAAGAAATTTTTTGGTCCGAATTGTCATGTTTCGTGAGAATCACCCTTATATGTTTAATTAAATGCAGTTTATCAAATTTTTATTTTTTAAACTCATGATTGAAGCTTGCTTTTGGACTTAGATTATTTCAGGCTTATTTTTAAGTCATTTTTTCAACGCGTATAAGACGTAGAATCTTTGAAAGGGTTTTGAAAAATAAATAAACTTATCAAGTTTACACTTATGGTAACAATCATATTGATCTACTGTAATCCAGAGAACTCTTTTTCAACCTTTCAAGAATATTTTTAAGCACTCTTTTTTTCTCATATTTATCATTGGTGCATTGAAAAAGTTTAAAAAATGTAACACTTTAACAAACTTACTTGCATGGTAATCCACATATTGATCTGCAGTAGTCTCGAGTACTCGTTTCAACCTCTGCAGCACACGTTACCTGCTCTGAAATAGCATGGAAATCATTTTGAAAACTTAGTCTCAATTTCCTTACCTCCAAAAAAATGTGATCAAAAGCGTGATAGAGTACCTTGTGTGACAGTGTTTTGATCGTACGGAAGCTTTTCATAAAACAAGCTTAGATTTTTTGTTACATAATTATCGCATGTCTTTCGTTGTAGATATTGAGAGCACCCAACAGTACAAAGCTGCAAGAAAAGCACTTTCAGATCACGTTATTTTAAAATGTAGGTAATCGAAACTGGATACTTTTCCTGAAACATTGAAGAAAAATGAATAAAGTGATTATATTAATAAATAGAAGCGTTCGTGAGGTCGCTCTTAACCATTTCCCGATCCCTGGAACAGCGAGTGAAAGGGAAAATTTTAAACCCCAATCGTTGAAACCATTTAAAAATTTCAATTAAATCGTAAAGTTTACGTTTGAAAAAAGAAATTTTCTCATTGGTTTATCCAGTCATTGACATAGATTAAATTGTAGAAGAGTCGGTTTTTTTTAAATATTTCAACTGTAATATCAATTATGTTTGCTTGCTTACAACTCTATCTAATTAAAGGGGTTTAATGCTCGTTTTCTTCAATTTATTTTCATTCGCTATTTGAAGTTAGATCAAGAGCAAACGTGGATTGACTACAAGGAGAACCACTCTTCAGACTGAAATCAAGACTGAAATCAGTCTTGAGAAAAAAACCAGTGAACTGAATTCCTTACTAAAATTAGTCTCTCTTACTAATTTGTTTTTTGAATTAATTTTTCAATACGAAATATTACTCTTTAATGAAAACATCAGTATTTTTCATAATTATTGCAAAATGATCAAATAATGATGTCACACTGCATTTAAAGAATTGGAATGATGGGGAACTTCAACACCTTCACGTATTGAAACTGAATCTGATAGAGTTTGTTTTCTTCCCACATATTTAGAAATACTGGACAAAGTTAAATTGAGTCTATTTTCTTAAAACATAAAACTTATAGAGCTAGAATTAAATAAAAATGATAAAGTGAAAAGTGATAGATGAAGTAAGATATGAAAAGTTCCAAGAAAAAATTTNTTGATTTTTGTTTTTTTTTTTTTTTTTAAATTCAGCAATTGGTGTAAAAAGAAATATGCGGTAGCTCTTACTTCTGTTTTATTTTCTGCAAAAAAGAAACTAAAAAATGTAGATAAAAAATTTTTAGACAAAATAAACAAGCCATTGTTATAATATCTGGGAAAGTACATTTGCAGTCAATGATCTATTAATTTCTAAATATTCTGCTGAACAACACTAAGCAGAGTTAATTAGTCAAAAAATAAGTTCAGTCCTGCAATTTTTTAGAGTGGTACCCATAGGCACGTGAGGTTGATGAATTAATATTAATCTTACTAAAGTTATCTGAAATCATGTGTTTATTTTTTGTAGAGTTTGGCATTTATATAAAATTAAATAATTTCAAAATCAAAGGTAATTGGAGCAAATATAAAACGCAAAATTGATGGAGAAAGGGTAGTTATACGCTTTTAAACTATTTTGACACTAGCGATGCTTAATATTATTTTGGTAATTAGCACTAATGGTTTTGTTGTAATAGGCGATGTTTTAATACTTACCTTTATATAGTACATACATACATACATTCCTTTATATTTCTTATTTGAAAGTGCTTTAAATAGACACTTTCTGAAAAGAAATGAAATGTTACCCTTGAAGTGACTCTAGTTTTCGGGTCATCATCCCACGGCAATTCTTCATAATTTGTGCAGTTAGTCTTGTAAGGGAGTGGTAATAGCAAAACGGTCATCTGAAAAAGAACAAAATCATTCTACCTATAGAACTTTTCCAATTGACTAAATGCACTACAGTACTAAATTTTTTCAAAAGTTTCATTGCAAATTTTATAAATTTCTTTGAAATTTGTATGTATGTTATTGATCGTTTATTTGTAAGTCTCGCTTGTATTCCCATACCATTCATATTCGATTGCAATGGAATTCGGTACACTAAAAAAATCTGAAACATGAGGAGAGATAAGTACAGTAACACGCAAAAAGTGCTTTAAGTAAGCGAAAATTGAAAATTAAAATACATTTCAAGATGCTTAATCGTTGTACAAGATTATTCAGATAAACTAGTAATAAATTATTTCTCCCTTAGCATCAATAACCATCTAAAGCAGTGTTGACACAGTTTCTACAAGCGCTTTAGGGTGACGAAAGTTGCTCTTTTCCATATTTTTTCTGAATGTTTCTTCCATTTTTAGTTGTCTTCTTACCTGCTTTATTTAGTTTATTTTTCATTATTCCCCACACTTTCTCTACAGGACTAAATTCAGGGGATGATGGTAGGTGGTTACTCTATTTACGTCCCACTAAAGCTGCACAATGTGCTATTGGCAGCGGTCTGGGAAACATCCTGAAGATCCCAGCACATTTTTGGATTTTCTGCTGAGGGGATAGCTCTTTTTGTTGGCAGGCCCGGTGACCACCAGGTGAAAACGAGCACTTTACAATGGAGCAGTTTTAACGAGGACCTAAACTACGCAACAGTGGTCCCGATGCTGGCTAATCAAAGTGGTCACTAACCCGCACACTGACCGCCGCTAGTGATACTTCCAATTATTGAATGCACCGTTAAATCTGTAATCTCTCTCATGCGAGAATCAAAATGAACACGCTGATAATAAAGGCTTTGCACAGGACATTATTCCAAATAAACAAATAAGATCCAGATTGCATGTTAATAAAACATATTAATGCATCCATTAAGAAACGAAACGGGGAAAAAAAACAGAAAAAAAATCATAAGAAAGCACTGAAAATTGCAATTATTTTCAAGCATATAGGATTTTCCTTTAAAAAGTCGCGTTAAATTCATAAACAAAAAGCATATTTCAGAGCGTCGAATTTGAACTCCGTAATTGCATTTCGAAGAGCTGAAGAGCGTTACGCAGGGTATTTTTTACCACAAGTTTAACAGTTAAAATTTTTTGAACCAATTACCAGGTGTTATATTTTCTAATTCATTGGCGTGCGAGAGAGCTTTTGGGAAGATGACTTCGGTCTCTTGTTATTTTCTATTTTTATTGTTCCTCTGTGTTATTGTTTGTATTCCCTGACATTGGAAATAAAATAAACAATATTTTCTAATTCTATCATACTTCTTACATTTTTCTACATTCCTTGGTAATTTAAAATTTCTAAGACTAATAGTTTTTGCCGAATAAAACAACATGCAACGACAAGTTATGTAAAACTAAATAAAAGTGAGAAAAAAGTCACAACTTAAAATACAATGACTTTCGAAAAAATTGGAGAAAAAACTCGTGATAAGTTCATAATTTAAACTGGCTCTTTAAGTATGTCAAACTTCCATTTTTAGTTGCCTTTCTGCGAGCTTTAGAGTGGCACTCATTGCATATTTTATTACTTAAAAGATCGAGCTAATTATCAAATGTTATTTTTTTATTCCATGATGCTTCACATGCATTTTTATACAAACTCCTGGAATTTTTAAGTTTCGAAATCTCTTAGTTTTTGCGCAATAAAACAAAATGTAACATGAAGTTCCTTATGATTTTTTAATGCAGAAAGAAAGTCAACTAAATAAAGTTTTACATTTTTTTTATATTTAAATGATATTGTTATCACTCAACCTTTTTGTCATCAATGGTGCAAAATTTCAGTACTGAAATGATTAAAAAAAACTATTGGCTCATAGCAGAACTTATGTACTATTATATTTTGTCTTTTTTTCTTAGCCAAAATCATAAAAACTAATAGCAATAGTATAACATTGAACATACACCGAAGAGCCATTGCATTATGATCACCCTGCTAATAACATGTAGGACCACCTTTAGNTGTATCCCTAATTTGAACTTTTGTGCTAGTTTAGTTTTTTTTTTTTTCGCATTGAGTTTCATTGGTAATGCTGGAGTTTGGAGGACTTTGTCATAGAAATGTTACGTAAATGTTTATAGAATGCATGTATAGAAATGTTTAGAAAATTTTGAACTTATAATCACTGCAAACAAAAAAAATTCTAAAAAAAAAGAAAAAATCAATCAATTTATGGCAGTTTATAGAAATCAAGTATAGTACCTTTGCGATGGCCAAGTAGTACGTTGATCCCCCAGCGATTGTTATGCCATCTGTGTGGACATCTGGCAATGAATTTCTGTCATGAACCGTAACAATAATGCCAGGGTAACGTTTTTTCTCCATTGATTCTGAACTCTCGACGTCAAGCAAAACTGAAAGATCTAAAAAAAATTGGTTAATAGGTATATTGTTTAACTCTGATTATGGTGTTAGGTTTGGAGGTGGGATTGAAGGATTAAAATATTTAAAAAATTGCGATCGCCAAACTGAGATCACAGGTTGCCGATTGGCAAAATGGTTATTGTCTAATTTTTTTTATCCTCTTTATTTGTGATATTCACCTGAATTAGTATTGACAAAGATCCAGCTTGAACTGTAGGTTAGAATTTATGATTCTTAACTAAAACAACAAAAAACAAAAATATCGTTCAAATGATGAAATTCTCCTTTATTCACAATTCAAGAAGTATCTGTTGATGCGCGGAGTAAGCACAGTTGTGAGTGAAAGTGTTAACTCACATAAAGAAACTTGAAGATTTAAACATTTCTTTATTTCATACAGTACCATCACGATACAGCGTACAACTGAAGATATTAACTATAATTACAGCTTAACAAAAGTTTTGGTACAACACCGGAAACAACAACACAGTGAAGTGACATAGTGAAGAGACAAGATAAGACACATGCTTACAACAATGCATGCCTTATATACAGATTCCATAATGATATGCACGGATGACGTCACTTACGTTATCTGAAAAGAAAATGTCTGTTGCCAACACACGACCGAAACTTAATTCTGTTGATTTAATGCTTTCAGAGGAGTAACAAAGCACTCCAATAGTATCTATGGGATCTCTCTGGTCCCATATCTCAAAAATAAACTCACCAACTTAAAGCATAACAAAATTAAAAGTGAAGAAAAGAATTCTGAAAGAATGATCAAACAGCAGTCGCCATAGCAACGCATGCAATGAAGACGCATTCGCACTGTTTACAATTACTCTTGAACACGGTTGAAAAGTGTGATGACGTCCAAATAAGGTGCACACGCCATCAAACCCAAAACAATACCCATTTTGCCAATGGGTGAAAAAAAAAATACGTATTTCGTTTGCAAGTGGAAAATGCTTGTAGCAAGAGGAAAATACTTTCTATTGCATCCATTCACAAAAAAAATGGAGAAAAGAAGAAGAAGAAAACAAAAAATGATCATAACTGTAAAAGAATAATGCACTATAAAGAATAATAAGAGTTCACTTGTTAGATACTTTCTCCCACTGAAGTAAATTAAATCTTTTCTGGTAATATACTAGCTGGTATACTCTATATTAGGAGATCTGGTATATTCTATATCAGAGAGTGAATGCACTTGTCGGAATGAGAAAGAATGTATCCTAATTAATAGCCAGCACTAAATAATTAGAATGTTTGAAGTCACCCTCTGAAATCCTTAAAATTGACACTTAATTCAGAAAAAGAACAAAAATTATCCCGGGAATTTTTTTTTTCCTTTTGGTCACCGTGCGAATGCCAATTATGAAATCGACGAACTAAAATTAGTCGGAATAATTTTTTACAACCTGTGACGTGACTAGTTTAAAATTATAATTCTGCTTTCTTGTTTTGATTTTTGGCGAAAGACCTTATAAAAACACCCTTAAGAATCTCTGATTTGTGATTGTCAACTTACCATTCGCCTCCTGCCAAAAATCCGCTTCCCTCGCTTGCAGAATTTCTCCAGCTTTGTTCTCTGCTGGGATTGTGTAACAGTTGCCATAATCTGGATCATAACTATACCGAAGATTCCTGCATGAATAAAATTATTCCCAAATATTTACACAACATATAATCTTCAAATTGAATCAAATAAATTATTTAAATCCTTACATTACATTATACTGATGGTTTTAGATTTGTTGCTTGAAACTGATTTAAAACCAAGCTTTTATTTTTCAATAGTTTAAAAAGAAAAAAAAAAGACTTCTTTTGCAGGAACGAACAAAAATAGGCTTTTTGTTTACATTTGAATATCGTAATAAATCGCGTAAATAATAACGTGTTTTATTTATCATTCAAACTTCCAGTCGATGTTTATAGCGGATTCTTTCTTGGTTGTCGTAACTTAAAAATGTCGGGGGGAGGGTCATGAAAAAATGAGTTTTAAAATTTATTATGTTTTTAAAGTTTAAAAATTTTTAAAAATCGTCTTGAGAAATTATTAGAAGATTTATTTTGAATGAAAAAGTGTGGACTTCACGATGCAAAAAATATATCTTAAGGTGACAATTCACTTTACCAAAGGTCCCGCAGTGGACTGATCGTTAAGACACGGCTCCCAGCAGATCACCGAAGTCAAGCATCACTGGCTGCGGTTAGTGTGCGGGTGGGTGACTACTTGGATTAGTCTGCGTATGGACCTAGGGTGTGCGGTATCGGTCCTCATTAAACTGTTCTACCGTAAAGTGCTTGACTTCGCGTGCAGCTCGTTGTGCTACAGAAGCGATGATGCCATCCCCTCTTCAGAGGATCAAAATTGCGATGGCATGTCTTCGGATCATCTTCAGGGATGTTTCTCAGACCGCCACCAATAGCCCATTGTGCAGCTCTAGTGCGACGTAAATGAACTGCAACAACATTACTTCAGCAAAGAAGGAGAACACTAGCCAAAGGCAGTGCTTAAGATGACCGGTAGCTCTGGTAAATGAGAGGAGGTAAAAGATTAATTCTTGCTTTTGAAGAGGAGCGCTTGATGGAAGCGGTAAGACAGGTATAATTTCGAGAGGACAGATCGAGGACGTGGTGTGCAGAAGTGAGTGGTGATCATTTAGAATAACTATATATTTATAATAGCATTTTATTTAGAACGATTTTTTCTTATGTTAACCAGAATATATAATATTAATATAAATGTATCATAAATAACCCAAAAATCGATTTTGCTAGTTTGATTACTTTAAGAGAATAATTAATTTAATTAAAATTAATGGCTACTACGCATGCAATGTAGTTAGAGATGTTAGGGTAGACAATTAATTAATAATAATTTTAATAAATACTTAATGTATTCTTATCTTCGAAACATATGTAAGAGAACTTTTTTGAACACAATAGGCTGCGTAGTGATCGCAAAATCGCATGTGTTCGCAGATATCACTAAAAATAATTAATAAGTCAAAAATCTAATTAAAAATCGGATTTCGTCTTGAATCATGTGACGTTTTTATCTGCCCTTGTATGAATTGCCGTATCTGATAAAAATAACACACTGAAGACACACTAACAAACCTCATCTTTTCATAAATGTAATGAAAACCAATATCATACTCGTTTTCAATGCCTTCTATTTGATATCACGCATTTGATACCACGTTTTTTTTTTTTCATGATGGCGGCAAGAAAAGAAACACATTTTGCTCAACATTGGCAACGAGAAAATAATTTCGGAGAAATAGACAACAAGTCAACTTTTCGTTTTGGGACGAAGCTAAATTAACAGTTAACTCAACTTAAAACCAAAACGTAAATATTTTCTTCTCACAATCCTCATCTTTACTTTGAATGTAAGAAATAAATAAGGGATCTGAAGATCGTGAAGAGGTTTCTCCCTTCCTCAAGCATACGCAGAGAAGAGCTCGTTACGTAATAGAGCCTGCTGCGTCTCTTTCCTGGCTTCGAAGATCGCTTGAATATGAGTCAAACTTTAACATGGAAAATGAAACAGTTAAGAAGCTCCGCCTCATTTAATTTGTGTATTGACTAAGAAGTTTGAACCGAAGCTCTAAAGAACATGTTACATAACTCCTTATTCCCTCTTAAAGACCCATGGAAAAGCTACTCGGCGGTTGGAGACAATTTTAATTTATTTTATAACCGTCGTTGAACAGTCGACGCAGTTTTGGGCTTACGACTACTAATGTTCAAATCCGTAGCCTTGCAAATTTGAATCTATTTCAGAAGACAAGGGAACTCCTGGATCAGGTTTTGAGAGAAATTTACCTTCACAGACGGCTTTTGATGGAACAAGCCCACATTTGCGTTACATGGAGAGGAAAACCTCCCACACTTAGTCTCAAAGGCAAGGGGGCTCTAACCCATGATCCGTCTACCACTATTTAAGTCAGCACTGTGGTCGGATGCGGAATTCGAATCGGCCAGTCATCGCTGGGATTCGAACCCGCTTTACCCAATTGGAAGACGAACACTCTGTCCACTGAGCCACCACGGCTCTTTTAATTTTTATTGACAAAGCTGCCCTAATACATTTTTATGCATCCGATTTTGGTTATTTTACAATGACATTCGTTACATCGGAACTGAGGATATTTTATGTCAGTACTGTGGTCGGTGCAAGCCGGGTGCACAATTTGTATCGACCAGTCATCGCTGGGATTCGAACTCGTTTCACCTCATTGGAAGGCGAACGCTCTATCCCCTGAGCCATCACGGCTCAGGATGGAAACAATTGAGCAACCACGTTATCACCCACTTTTCAACCAAACTGAAAGCAAGTAAGCTTTAGAATAATACTTTCCGTACGCGTCTTGTGCGTACAAGTCTTCTACATAATCTGATAAGAGTATAGTGTACCACACTTACTGTCGGCATTCTTCTTCTTTCAGTTTAGGTTCTCCGTTGAAAATGCAGCTTTGGACCATATCTTCCGCATGTCCGAGGAGTCTCTTTTTCTCGAATTTTCCCTCTCTCATCAAATCGAACATTATATCTCCGATTTCCTTCTCTGACAATGTCTGAAATTCAATCATGCCTGATTTAGCATTCTGTTTTTCAATAAACAAAAAATTAGTTTAAAAAAAAGGAAAGAAGTCATAAAATGAGCTGAAAAAAATCACCCGATTTATTTAATTTAATGTATTTGAAAATGTTGAAACTTTTTTAAAATGTGAAATATCGGAATACAGCAAAATATCGGAATTAAATATGAAATATCGAAAATGAAAGATCTAAAAGTAAGTAAAGACGTATGGGCACTATTCCATTTTAGAAGGCTGTAAAAAAAATTGTTAAACTATTTTTTACATCAATGATGAATGAATCCAGTAGTGCATATTGGTTACATTTTACCACAGTACCTATTACGTCAATAACAGTAGTAGCTATTACCACAGTTAATTTGTTAGCATCTCTTACGTCAGTAATAGTTTGGAGGATTTTTTTTTACCTCTCACGGTAACGGAATAGTTCCAAAAGTATTCTTATATAGCATAAAACTAAGTGAGTATCGTTATGAGTCATTCCCACTATTCTTAACTCTCTCTGATTTTTTTTCTAAGGAAGTTATGTACTATTGAGGAATCGTATGAGGACTTTTTCACTGAATTAATTAAATGAGCTATCTATAATCTGTAATACAATGCAATCTTCCTTCAATTATGATACGTTGTTTTCTTTTTCTAGCAGTTCTTAAGAAAAGTATAATATATTAGGCAATGTGCAATTTTTTTTGTAAATGACTGGTTTTATACATGAAATGATGGAATATAAGAAACAAGAAGAAGTTACCAGGTTTGGGTTTTCCTTACATTTCTCCTTGTAAAAATCACAATACATACTTCTTCTTATTCTGAAACAAAAATTGAAACATTTTAAGTAATCTTAATTAGTATCCTAGAAGATGTTTTTTATAAATAAATATCTGAATACCCGTTCGTCATAAGGAGTAAAAAAAGCGTAAATAATTACTTATTTAATCACTATTCATTAACACTACACAATCACACACAAGTATGAAAAGCCTAGATGAAAACAAATAAAGAGTTTAAAATACCTTCAGTTTATATTTTAGTCCTATTTTTTGTCCTTTCCCAAACTTTACATTATTAGATTAAGCAAAACACGTTTTTCACAGTTCTAACCTTGAAGCGCCTGAATACTGGGCATGTTGTAAAACATCAAATAATGAGTACAGTAAATAATACTGAGTATGTTACAAATCATCAAATTCTGAGCTGAATAGTACTGAGTATGCAGTAAATCATCGAATAAAAGGCATACTGAGTAATACTGAGTATGTTACAAATCATCAAATAATGAGTAAGCTGAATAATACTGAGTATGTAGTAAATCATCGAATAAAAAGCATACTGAGTAATACTGAGTATGTTGTAAATCATCAAATAATGAGTAAGCTGAATGACCCTGAGTATGTAGTAAATCATCGAATAAAAAGCATACTGAGTAATACTGAGTATGTTGTAAATCATCAAATAATGAGTAAGCTGAATGACCCTGAGTATAAATCATCCTATAAAAAGCATACTGAGTAATACTGAGTATGTTGTAAATCATCAAATAATGAGTAAGCTGAATCATACTGAGTATACATCGGCAAATAAAAAGCATACTGAGTAATACTGAGTATGTTGTAAATCATCAAATAATGAGTAAGCTGAATAATCCTGAGTATGTAGTAAATCATTTGAAATAAAAGCATACTGTGAAATACTGAGTATGCTGTAAATCATCAAATAATGAGTAAGCTTAATAATACTGAGTATAAATCATCAAATAAAAAGCATGCTGAGTACTTCTGAGTATGTTACAAATCATGAAATAATGAGTAAGCTGAATAATACTGAGTATGTAGTAAATCATCAAATAATGAGTAAGCTGAATAATCCTGAGTTTGTGGTAAAGCAGCAAATAAAGAGTAACTGAATGTTGCTGGGTATATTATAAATCAGCAAATAATGAGTATACTTAATAATACTGAGTATATTGTAAATCAAATAAAGAGTATACTTAATACTGAGTTTATCAATAAAAAGTATACAATACATTCAATATTTTTCGGCACCGAGAAACGACACTGTTGGTTGCGCAAAACTCCTCACAGTCTAGATCTTCTACAATCAAGCAATTTTCCCGATGAGTTAGCTATTCAGTACTAAACTCATTACTTTTTTTAAATTCAGTTATTCTTACATTTTTTTGACTAAAAGAAAATTTTTTCAAAAACGTAGCAATGTGTAAAAAAAAAAAAACTTTACATGTGATAAATACTAAGTGAATCTCTCTTGTGATTAAAAAGAACTCTAAGCTAGTAAGCAGAATTGATATCTTTTAAAAAATTAAATAGGGAAAAAGCGAAAACATGTTTAAATTTTTAAATATTCCAAATGTCAAAATTCTATCTCAAATCGTTTTATTAATAAAAACACACGTCTCGTTTTTATTATTTTCATACTAAATAAGATAGAAAACGTGATATTTAAACCTTCGATGTTTAACAATAATTCAGTTAATAATTTCAGTTTCACGTTTATTTTAATCTAATAGTGATAAAAAATATTTTAGATCAAACAAAAATAATAAAAAATAATAAATAAAGTAAATAAATCAAGTCATTCAATGAACATAAATTAAAATTTTTACCATTATACGATAATAATGATGGTTTTCTCCACTTTGCTCTACACTACGTGAAAGTACAGTTGAGAAGAGACCATTATGAAGATCCTTAATTTTTATGGGAAAATTCAAACTAGTTTTGAATCACGCCTACCTTAATAGTGATTCTTCAGACACCGATTTTGTATTTTCCTCGCTTAAATATTAATTTGTGATATTACGTTAGAAGCGTGGGAAAATACAAGGTAGAGCTTTTAATTTTCATGACTGGTAAAATAACTCATAAAAATGTTATGCGAATGACTTTTGGCCGTTAAAGTTTCATCAGTAACTTTTTAAAATCCTCTTTCAGAATTTTACCATAAGATTCTGATGTTCTAAAAATTTTCATCTTTAGACTTAGTTTTTTCATTTCCGAAAACATAAAGTCTGTAAGAGGTTTGTCCGAAAAGTATCTCTACAACCTCCGAGCAAACAATTTAATAAAAGGACTAGATTTAAAAATATGAAAGACATTTAGAAAACCGTTATTCCAGAATTAAAAAAAAAAAACATTCCGAAAAGCATACTTGAAAAGTTGTTTCTGAAACTTTTACAGCCGAATAGAGAGGAGCATTACAGCAATTAGAAATAACTAAAAAACACATCAAAATGAGTTTGTCATTTACATAACATTTTTAGGAGTTAAATTAGTTCTGAAAATTAGAGGAATGGAAAAAAGAATACCGGAAGAAAAAGTTCGAAAAAAAGTACTTTAAAAAAAGTACCGGAATTATACGAATTTAACAACAGATTCAATTCGGGGAGTTGTGCCAGAACTTAACTTAATTAAATACTTATTAGAATGAAATTACGTATTTTATTTTTTAATATATAAGGATTAATTTAAAGTTTAATGAATAGAAATGTCCCCACTTCATACTATTTAACAAATTTATTAGGACTCTCTCATAAGCAGTTCTAAAATTATTCTAAATTTCATTAATTGGACTTTTTGTATTGTAAAATAATCATGCCGTTACAGTAATCATACCTTGATTTTATAATATACAAATAATAAAATTTCTACTAATTCTTAAAAATTGTGCTAAATTATAATATTATATCATTTTTGTTAATATTTTTATCTTATCAAAATGTTTACCCCGTGAGAGACAACTTTTAATTGATAAATTGTTTATAACAATACTATATATACATAGTACAAATGTGTTTGCAAAGCTCAGTGATTAAGGCACTGAGTGAATCTTGAAGAATTGGGGTTCGAATCTCAGTGGTGGCTTGAGGACCACCCAGCTTCAGATCGATTATGTACCAATTTGTTTGGTAAGTAACGGTGAACTGTGCACAATGCTGACTAAATTGATACAACCATGCCGTTGGTCAAGAAGTTGTGGAGCCTTAACCCACATGGACCCCCCTGGAACTCAACGGACTGTTGCGGGATTGCATTATTTTAAATGTATTTATAATTAAAAATATATTAAGTACTAAAAGTTTAGTCAATTTCATACTAAACTTTGGGAGCCGTAATGGTTCAGGAGGTTCGAATCCCAGTGGTGGCTGGTCTGCACGAATTCCGCATCCGGCTTGCACGGACCAGTGGGATGACGTAAAATATCCTCAGTGGTAGAAGGGTCATGGGTTAGAGTCCCCTTAATATCAGGCTAATCGTGGGAGATTTTCGTGGTTTTCCTCTAAATGTAACGCAAATGCAGGTTAGATCCCTCAAAAAGTCCCCCGCGAAGGCAAAATTTCTCCCAATACTTGATCCAAGAGTTCCCTTGTCCTCTGAATTTGGTTTAAAAAGACAAGGATACGGAGTTGAACATTAGTAGTCGTAAACCCAAAAAATTGGGTGGAGTGTTCAACAACAGTCATAAAAATAAAATACTAAACTTTGGATCCTAATTTTTTTTTTCAAATTAATTTTCATTTATGTTCGTATAATTAATTAATTGCATTAAACTAGGATTTAACTCCCCGTATCAAATCAGACGTTAAATTTGTCCCGCAGTGGACTGATCGGTAAGACACGGTTCCCAGCAGATCACCGATGTCAAGCATCACTGACTGCGGTCAGTGTGCGGGTGGATGACCACTTGGATCAGTCTGCGTAGGGACCGAGGGTGTGCGGCATTGGTTCTCATTAAACTGCTCTACCGTAAAGTNGTCCCGCAGTGGACTGATCGTTAAGACACGGTTCCCAGCAGATCACCGAAGTCAAGCATCACTGGCTGCGGTCAGTGTGCGGGTGGGTGACTACTTGGATTAGTCTGCGTAGAGAACGAGGGTGTGCGGTATCAGTCCTAATGAAACTGTTCTACCGTAAAGTGCTTCACTTCGCGTGCTGCTCGTTGTGCTACCGAAGCGATGATGCCATCCCCTCTGCAGAGGATCAAAATTGTGATGGCATGTCTTCGGATCATCCTCAGGGATGCTTCCCAGACCGCCACCAATGGCCCAGTGTGCAGCTCTAGTGCGACGTAAATGAAGTACAACAACATCACTTCACCAAAGAAGGAGAACGCTACCCAAAGGTAGTGCTTAAAATGACCGGTAGCTCTGGCAAAGGAGAGGAGGTAAAAGGTTAATTCCTGCGTTTGATGGAAGCGGTAAGACAGGTATAATTTCGAGAGGACAGATCGAGGGCGTGGTGTGCAGAAGTGAATGGCATTCATTTAGAATAACTATATTTCTATAATAGCATTTATTTAGAATGATTTTTCCTTGTGTTAACCAGAATATATAAAATTAATATAAATGTATCATAAATGACCCAAAAATCGATTATGCTAGGCTGATTACTTTAAGAGAATAATTAATTTAATTAAAATTAATGACTACTACGGCATGTAATGTAGTTAGAGATGTTAGGGGTGAACAATTAATTAATAATAATTACAATAAATACTTAATGTATTCTTAGCTTCGAAGCATATATAAGAAAACTTTTTTGAACGCAATAGGCTGCGTTGTGATCGCAAAATCGCATGTGTTCGCAGATATCACTAAAAATAATTAATAAATCAAAAATCTAATTAAAAATTGGATTTTGTCTTGAATCATGTGGCGTTTTTGAATCATGGCCTTTGTATGAAGTGGCCGTATCTGATAAAAATAACTCACAGAATTACACACAAACAAACCTCTTCTTTTAATAAATGTAATGAAAACCAATATCATATTCAATTTCAATACCTTTTATTTGATACTACGCATTTGATACCACGCTTTTTTTCCATGATGGCGGCAAGAAAAGTAATACATTTTGGTCAACAGTAAAAACGAGAAAATAATTTCGGAAAAATAGACAACTAGTCAACGTTTCATTTTGGGGCCAAACTAAATTATATATTATCTCAGCTTAAAAGCAAAACGTAAATATTTTCTTCTCAAGGGCCTCATCTTTGCTCTGAATATAAGAAATAAAGAAGGGATCTGAAGAGTGTGAAGAGGTTTCTTCTTTCCTCAAACATGCGCAGAGAAGAGCTCGCTACGTAATAAAACCTGTTGCGTCTCTTTCCAGGCTTCGAAGATCTCTTGAATTTGAGGCAAACTTTAATATTGAAAATTAAACAGTTAAGAGGCTCCGCCCCATTCCATTAGTGTCTAGACTAAGAAGTTTGAACCAAAGCTCTAAAGAACATTTCGCATAACTCCTTATTCCCTCTTAATGACCCATGGAAAGTACCCTACTCTGATGATGGAGACAATTTTATTTTATTTTATAACCGCCGTTGAGCAACCGAGGCTTTACGACAACTTTTGCTTTACGATTACTAATGTTCATCTCCGTAGTCTTGTAATTTTGTACCCAATCCAGAAAACAAGGGAACTCCTGGATCAGGTTTTGGGAGAAATTTACCATCGCTGAAGCCTCTTGATGGAACAAGCCCACATTTGCGTTACATGAAGAGGAAAATCACAAAAACCTCCCACGCTTAGCCTGACGGCAAAGGGACTCTAACTCATGATCCGTCTACCACAAAGGATATTTTACGTCAGCACTGTGGTCGGTGCAAGCTGGATGGGTAATTCGAATCGACCAGTCATCGCTGGAATTTGAATCCGCTTCACCCAATTGGAAGGCGAACGCTCTATCTCATGAGCTATCACGGCTCAGGATGGAAACAATTGAGCAATCACGCTATCAACCCCTTTTCAACCAGACTGAAAGCAACTGAGCCTTAGAATAATTCCTTCCGTACACGCCTTGTGCGTACAAGTCTTCTACATAATCTGATAAGAGTAAAGCGTACCACACTTACTCTCGGCATTCTTCTTCTTTCAGTTTAGGTTCTCCGTTGAAAATGCAGCTTTGGACCATATCTTCCGCATGTCCGAGGAGTCTCTTTTTCTCGAATTTTCCCTCTCTCATCAAATCGAACATTATATCTCCGATTTCTTTCTCTGACAATGTCTGAAATTCAATCATGTCTGATTTAACATTCTGTTTTTCAATAAACAACTAATTTGTTTACAAAAAAAGAAAGAAGTCATAAAATGAGCTGAAAAAAATCACCTGAATTATTTATTTTAATTTATTTGAAAAGGTTGAAACTTTTTTAAAATGTAAAATATCGGAATTAAATATGAAATATCGAAAATGAAAAATCTAAAAGTAAGTAAAAACGCATGGCACTATTCCATTTTTGAAGGCCGTAAAAAATTGTTAAACTATTTTTGGCATCAATGATGAATAAATCGAGTAGTGCATATTAGTTACGTTGTGGCTTGGTGGCGCAGTTGGTTTGTCGTCGGCCCTCTGATCCCAAGTCTGCGGGTTCGATCCCCGGCCCAGACACCGGATTTTCGTAATGCAGAAAATCCTCAGCGGCCATGTCGTGTGATTATGCGGCATGTAAAAGATCCCTGGAGTGCCTTATTGCCTCTTGTCAAGCATTTCCGGCAAAATTAAATTCCTAGTGCACTTTAGCATCCAAATAGAGTCTCGGTGCTGCCATCTAGTGTGGCAGAAACTAGACGTCCAAATTAACATGACCAACGGTATCTCACCCATTGTGGTGCTCCTGAAAGAGTGGATACCACCTCTGGAGAACGCACTAGGTCTGTTCAACGGCAAGACCGATTGTGCAGCTCATTGGAAATAAAAATAAAAAAAATATTAGTTACATTTTACCACAGTACCTATTACCTCAATAACAGTAGTAGCTATTACCACAGTTAATTTCTTAGCATCACTTATGTCAGTAATAATTTTGAGGGTTTTTTTTACATCCCTCACGGTAACGGAATAGTTCCAAAAGTATTCTTATATAGCAGAAAACTAAGTGAGAGAAACAGTCCGGTGACGTGGTGACAGCGCGTTCAAGCTCACTTGTAAATATGAGTATTGCAATTTTTTGTACTAATGAAGAAAGAAGCAGTAATATGTGTGATATTCATTAACCCGTTGATAGCTATGGGAGCATATATGCGTCAATCAAGAACCATGGGTGTGGCCCATGAGCACATACGTGCTTGCGTCCCACACAAGCCATCGGTCTAGCTAGACTATAGACGCATGTGGAGGCTTTAGCTGGTTAAGTGCGTCTCAAGTGTATATCCGAAAATAGTTTATCGCATATATCTCCAAAACTAGCTGAAATCTTATACCTCGTTGCTTTAGCAACAATAAAAAATAAAATGATGTTCAATTGATCAGCTATTCAGTATTCAAATACATATATTATAACAATTAAGTCATGGCGTTTTAAAGCTAACCATTAATAAATAAAAAATATATATTGAAAATTTAATTCTATTTTATAACAGTCGTTGAACAACTGGCCCAACTTAGGGTTTAGGACTACCACTGTTCAAATCCGTAGCCTTGTAATTTTGATTCCAATCCAGAATACAAGGGAATTCCTAGATCAAGCATTAAGAGAAATTTGCCTTCGTGGAAGACTTTTTTAGATGGAACTAACCAGTATTTACGCTACATAGAGAAAAAAATCACGAAAACATCCCATGTTTAGCCTGATGACGAGGAAAGTCTAAGCCATGATCCATCTACCAATGAACGTATTTTACGTCAGCACCATGGTCGGTGAGAGTCGGGAACACAATTTGAATCGACCAGCAATCACTGTGATTCGAACCCAAGCTACCTTATTTGAAGGCGAGTGCTCCATCCCCTGAGCCATTATAGATGTTTGGATCAGTTTTGGAGCCGAAAAAGTAATGAGAGTATTTGGATTTTGCACTGCATTACAATGTCTTAAAACGCCACAGACAAAATCGAAAAAGTATTGGTTCTCCCAAGTTTGCTTCAATTTAAGCAGTTAGCAGTCAAAGAGTTAAAATATTTGCTAAAATTAAGTTAATTTACTCTAAATTAAAAACTAAAGTTAATTTTAAGGTTATGAGCCATTGCTCGGTATTTCCTATTCTGACTTAATAAGGTTATAAGCCATAGCCTGGTATTCCCTACGCTGATTTTTATGGCTGCAAGCCATTGCAGTTAGGTATCACCTACACTCTTTGTTTTTAAGATGAGTCATAGCCCATTTTTCCCTTCAAAGATTTTTTTTTTTAAGTACCGTCATACGTTTCATTCGTTTTTTTTCGACAGAAAAATGGTCAGACGTTATTAAAAAATACCTGGAACGAGAAACTACCGTGATTACACTTTAGAAAAACTGCAACAATGTTTGCAAGCAGTTGCTGGTGGTATGTCGATTGCAGAAGCTTCTCGGAAGTACAAAATCCACAGAAATACTATCTCTAATAAAATTCACAAGAAACACATGAAACGTGCTGGTAAACTATTATTTTTCTTCTACAAAGAGTTTTCTAATGAATTAATCAAACGATTTAACTCATAAAAATATATTTTATAGGACATCAGGTGAATCAGGTCGTTTTGACAGAAACTGAAGAGCAAGTTCTGACATGTTCATTCAAGCATGTTATGCTCAAATATATCAATATTATAAATGGTAATGAATATGTCATAATTATTATTTTTGAAATACAAATGTTTTGACACTCAAATGTTTTGAAATAAACATTATTTTTAAGAAAAAATTCTTCAAAAAAAAATGTTTTTTTAACGCTGAAAATTATTTTCAAACTAATATCTTTGCATATCTTGATGTTTTTGTCTTTAAAAATGTCAACAATTAACTTTTTTAACAATTTTATATCAATATTTTACTAAAAACATGATTATTAAACTGAATTCCTATCGCTGCACAGGTATGTTTTGACTTATTATTCGTAAATATTACATACAAATAATGTCAATATTGATCAAATTCACTCGTCTGAGTCCAGTTATGAATATAATATCGATAAATTTTGCTAAAGTTTGAATTGACATAGTTTTTTTACATGTCAAAGTTCAAAAACTGCGAAATCCTGCACAAAGTAGCCCCGAATGACGCTAATAAACCATTGCTCATTGTTCCTTAAACTGACTTTTTATGGTTAGGTGCCATTGCCGATATTCTCTACTCTATTTCGTTATATTGTTATGAGTCATTCCCACTATTCTTAACTCTGATTTTTTTTCTAAGGAAGTTATATACTATTGAGGAATCGTATGAGGACTTTTTCACTGAATGAATTAAATGAGATATCTTCAATCTGTAATACAATACAATCTTATTTCGCTCGAAGATCCTTTTATTATATGTTGTTTTTTCTTCCTAGTAGTTCTTAAAAAAAGTATAATATATTAGGCAATATGCAATTTTTTTGTAAATGACTGGTTTTATACATGAAATGATGGAATATAAGAAACAAGACGAAGTTACCAGGTTTGGATTTTCCTTACATTTCTCCTTGTAAAAATCACAATACATACTTCTTCTTACTCTGAAACAAAAATTGAAACATTTTAAGTAATCCTAATAATCTTAATTAGTATCCTAGAAGATTTTTTTATAAATAAATATCCGAATACCCGTTCGTCATAAGGAGAGAAAAACGTAAATAATTACTAATTTAATCGCTATTCATTAACACTACACAATCACACACAAGTATGAAAAGCCTAGATGAAAACAAATAAAGAGTTTAAAATACCTTCAGTTTAAATTTTAATCTTATTTTTTGCTCTTTCCCAAACTTTACAATATTAGATTAAGCAAAACACGTTTTTCACAGCTTTAACTTTGAAGAGACTGAATACTGAGTAAGTTGTAAAACATCAAATAATGAGTATACTATATAATACTGAGTATGTTAAAAATCATCAAATAATGAGTAATTGTTGCTGTTGTTGTTCATTTACGTCGCACTAGAGCTGCACACTGGGCTATTGGCGACGGTCTGGGAAACATCCCTGAGGATGATCCGAAGACATGCCATCGCAATTTTGATCCTCTGCAGAGGGGATGGCACCCCCGCTTCGGTAGCCCGACGCCCTGCACGTGAAGTCGAACACTTTACGGTAGAACAGTTTAACGAGGACCCATACCGCACACCCTCGGTCCCTACGCAGGCTGATCCAAGTGGTCACCCACCCGCACACTGACCATAGCCAGTGATGCTTGACTTCGGCGATCTGCTGGGAACCGGGTCTTAACGATCAGTCCACTGCGGGACCAAATAATGAGTAAGCTAATACTGATTATGTAGTAATTCATCGAAACAAAGGCATATTGCGTATGTTACAAATCATCAAATAATGAGTAAGCTGAATAATACTGAGTATGTTGTAAATCATCGAATAAAAAGCATACTGAGTTATACTGAATATGTGTAAATCATCAAATAATGAGTAAGCTGAATAATCCTGGGTATGTGGTAAAGTATCAAATATAGAGTAACTGAATGTTGCTGGGTATATTGTAAATCATCAGATAAAGAGTAACTGAATAATACTGAGCATATTGTAAATTAAATAAAGAGTATACTTAATACTGAGTATATCAATAAAAAGTATACAATACATTCAATATTTTTCGGCACTGAAAAACGACACTGTTGATTGCGCAAAACACATCAAAGTCTAGATTTTCTACAATCAAGCAATTTTCCCGATGAGTTAGCTCTTCAGTACTAAACTCATTACTTTTCTTTAAATTCAGTTATTTTTACATTTTTTTGATTAAAAGAAAATTTTTTCAACAACGTAACAATGTGTAAAAAAAAAGTTTCATTACATGTAATAAATACTAAGTGAATCTCTCTTGTGATTAAATAGAAATCTAAGCTAGTAAACATCAGAAATGATATCTTTTAAAGGAAAAAGCGAAAACATATTTAAATTGTTAATTTTTCCAAATTTCAAAATTCTATCTCAAATCGTTTTATTAATAAAAACACGCGTCTCGTTTTTATTATTTTCATACTAAATAAGCTGTAAAACGTGATATTTCAACCGTCGATGTTTAGCAATAATTTCAAATATCGAATATTTAATCGATTAAATTATTCATATTATCGTATTCATCGGTTAACTTTTCATTTATTAAATTCAAAAATGGAGTAAAAGCTCGATATTACGTGTATGGCATATTACGAGTAGTCCGCAATTACGATAATGTTAATATTAAATAAACAAAAATTATAAGCATATAACGAGTTAAAAATTACTAGTCTTCAGCTAAAACGCACAAAAAAAAATTGTTACGACTTGTTGCTCAAGCTTTCCTCTCATAGACATTTATGCCTTGCATCAAATCTACCTTATAGATTGTAGACTGAGCTAGGCAACTCAATCTACAATCCATAAGCAAAATTAATCTATTCTAGATATGTAATTTATAACAAAATTGTTGTTCAGAATAAAATAAATGAATGTGTCCATTTAATTCTTTAAATCTTTTTATAGATATTTTAACATTAAATATGTGTATTTGCATACATTGACCAGCACGCTATAACGTCACATTTACCTGCTATTACGAATTGTCGTTATAAGGGATTTTAATCGTATATTAGCATACTAACTGTTATTTTAGTACAAATTGGAGTAGGAATAAAAATTTTGTTTTCTTTCAATTTTAGGTTGTTTTTTTTTTAATCTAATGGTGGTAAAAAATATTTTAGATCAAACAAAAATAATAAAAACTAATAAATAAATGAAATTAATAAATCAAGCCATTCAATGAACATAAATTGAATTTATACGATAATATAATTAATGATGGTTTTCTTCACTTTGCTCTACACTACGTGAAATACAGTTGAGAAGAGACCATTATGAAGATCCTTAATTTTTATAAGAAAATTCAAACTAGTTTTGAATCACGCCTACCTTAATAGTGATTCTTCAGACACCTATTTTGTATTTTTCTTGCTTAAATATTAATTTGCGATATTACATTAGAAACGTGCGAAAATACAAGGTAGAGCTTTTAATTTCCATGACTGGTAAAATAATTCATTAAAATGTTATGCGAATGACTTTTGGCCGTTAAAGTTTCCTCAGTAACTTTTTAAAATCCTCTTTCAGAATTGTACCATTTAATTCTGATGTTCTAAAAGTCTTCGTCATCTTTAGACTTAGTTATTTCATTTTCGAAAACTGTAAGAGGTTTGTCCGAAAAGTATCTCTATAACCTCCGATCAAACAATTTAATAAAAAGACTAGATTTAGAAATATGAAAGACATTTAGAAAACCGTTATTCCAGAATTTAAAAAAAAAAAAACATTCCGAAAGCATACTTAAAAAGTTGTTTCTGAAACTTTTACAGCCGAATAGAGAAGAGCATTACAGCAATTAGAAATAGCAAAAAAAAACACATCAAAATGAGTTTGTCATTTACATAACATTTTTAGGAGTTAAATTAGTTCTGAAAATTAGAGGAATGGAAAAAAGAATACCGGAAGAAAAAGTTCGAAAAAAAGTACTTTAAAAAAAGTACCGGAATTATACGAATTTAACAACAGATTCAATTCGGGGAGTTGTGCCAGAACTTAACTTAATTAAATACTTATTAGAATGAAATTACGTATTTTATTTTTTAATATATAAGGATTAATTTAAAGTTTAATGAATAGAAATGTCCCCACTTCATACTATTTAACAAATTTATTAGGACTCTCTCATAAGCAGTTCTAAAATTATTCTAAATTTCATTAATTGAACTTTTCGTATTGTAAAATAATCATGCTATTACAATAATCATACCTTGATTTTATAATATACAAATAATAAAATTTCTACCAGTTCTTAAAAATTGTGCTAAATTATAATACTAAATCATTTTTGTTAATATTTTTATCTTATCAAAATTTTTACCCCGTTAGAGACAACTTTTAATTGATAAATTGTTTATAACAATACTATATATAAATAGTACAAATGTGTTTACAAAGCTCAGTGATTAAGGCACTGAGTGAATCTTGAAGAACTGGGGTTCGAATCTCAGTGGTGGCTTGAGGACCACCCAGCTTCAGATCGATTGGGTACCAATTTGTTTGGTAAGTAACGGCGAACTGACCTGAAGACCTCAACGGGCTGTTGTGGGATTACATTATTTCAAATGCATTTATAATTAAAAATATATAAAGTACTATAAGTTTAGTCAACTTCATACTAAACTTTGGGAGCCGTAATGGTTCAGGAAGTTCGAATCCCAGCGGTGGCTGGTCTGCACGAATTCCGCATCCGGGTTACACGGACCAGTGGGATGACGTAAAATGTCCTCAGTGGTAGACGGATCATGGGTTAGAGTCCCCTTGATATCAGGCTAACCGTGGAGGTTTTCGTGGTTTTTCTCTAAATGTAACGCAAATGCAGGTTAGATCCCTCAAAAAGTCTTCCGCGAAGGCAAAATTTCTCCCAATACTTGATCTAGGAGTTTCCTTGTCTTCTGAATTTGGTTTAAAAAGACAAGGCTACGGAGTTGAACATTAGTAGTCGTAAACCCAAAAAATTGGGTGGACTGTTCAACAACAGTCATAAAATAAAATACTAAACTTTGGATCCTAATTTTTTTTTAAATTAATTTTCATTTATGTTCGTATAATTAATTAATTACATTAAACTAGGATTTGACTCCCCGTATCAAATCTGACGTTAAATTTTGTATAACATTTAATGAAAAGTTCTTTTTCTTAAGAGTACGTTTTTTCATGTTCTTTTTTTTCCTGCGTTCGGAAAATGAATAGCGCTCAACTTGGCCAATTAGAGAATCTTACCTGTTGGTATTACAGAACGTGACTGATGGGAATTCAGCCAAACCGTCGTTTTCAACTTCAATCTGCACCACGGAGGGCTTCTCGTTGTAAAGTTTGGTGAAATGATAAGTTTGATAGGAGAAGCCGGAAAGGCAACAAACGAGCACCACTGCCCACACTACCCTCTGCAATGGATTCTTAGCTGATACGACACTGTTGACGCCACTGATGGATGACTTAGCGAGTGATCTCAGAAGGAACCTTGTGACTGATTGGTTGTAAGATTCCCTGTTCTGTTGTGTCTTGTTCTTGCATCTGCATCCCCCAATGACTTGTGGCGTCGCATAGAATATCCAGTCCATGTTTTTTTGATCTGATCCAAACGTGCTTCTGACGTGCGTCTTCATTGCTCCTAAGTAGATTAAACTTCATTTAAAATAAAATTTTACAAGAAATGTCCGAGCCTTGAATTCCATCTATCTAATTTTAGAAACTTCTGTACAGGGCGCAAAAAACTAAATGGACTTTTCAGAATAACTTTTGATCTAATGATCAGATCTTCACGTCCTAGGACTCAATTTTAAAGGTTCGAAGGGATGACCTTAAATATGTTCATTAATATTTTAAGTTATAAAATCAAATATATAAAATACTAATACTATCTTATGTACAGGGCGTAAGAAACTAAATGGACATCTCAGAATAACTTTTGATCTAATGATTGGATCTACACATTCTATGACTCAATCTTAATGGTTCGAGGGGATGGCCTCAAATATGTTAATTAATATTTTAAATTATAAAATCAGACACAAAGACGTGCTTTCTCTAAATGAACATGCATTTTTTCTGTTATATGAGTATTTCTGTCAGTCGAAATATAGGAGGTAACTGCAATCTGGCTGACAAAACTTTTCTGAAATTTGATTTCTCTAAAAACTATCAACGAATTTCGCTCAAGTCTTGTACTTTTCTGTGTATAATTACCTTTATTTCAATTGCCTTTACAATTTAAAGTTTTCTGGACAATTCTTAAATAAATTAATAAGAATAATAAATTCTTAATTTAAGTTATATTTTTGCATAGAATTGTATTAAATGAATAAATTTTATAATTGTATGTAAAAAGTTTCAATTCTCATTAAAAAAAAATTTCTAGAGATATAGTGAGTTACGAAAAAAGTAAAATTTACGTGAAGCGGGCTAAGCTTTGAATCGTACTCCTGACCACACTATTGAAACCATATTTCCCAGATTTAAGCTATCCCCTCTATTTTGGGATTCAGAAATTCGAATCCGTAGAAGAGGTAGGTTTTTTTCAGAAAAAATACTTTTTTGCGTCAAATTTTGTAACGTAAATTATCGTCATCACTAATTAATTAGCATATTTGAAGTCACCCTCTCGAAACTTTAAGATTGAGTCATAGAACGTGAAGATCTGATCATTAGATCAAAAAGTAGTAAGAGTGATTTATTTTTTATTTTGCGCACTGTAAGCCAACACAATAAGTGCCACATTCCCTTATATAACATACTATGAAACATGAAAAGTTTAAAAAAAATTATTATTTACTGATTAAGGGATCTGGTTTGACTGACTGATTAAAGGATCATCAAATAGCTCATTTACTTTTAATGTAAGCCTTAGTAGTGGAAACGTAAAGAAACAATATTAAAAGTAAAAAGATTTAGAAAGAAAAGCGTTTTGCTAATTAATATTATTAAAGGTTCAGTCACTTATGTATTAAATAAAAAATAAGGATTTGAAAAATTTAATTATAAAAACAATAACAGCGAATAATGAATGGAAATTTTGTAAAACTTAAAATATGTTTTTAAAAAATGCACTTGTTGAAAAAAAAAATTTTAAAATATTAATTTTATGGATATACTTTATAAAACTGAACTGAAGCAAGTAATATAGGTTGTTTTTTAATAGATGAAACTAACTTAAATGAATGATTGATTGATCAAAAGTCCAGTTCAGTTAGCATAAAATATAATTTTTTTATTTACATAAAATTATTCTAAAACAGATATGGAACTCATTCATTTTCAAAGAGCAAGAAAATATAAACGAAAATCAATTGTCTTAACGTTTTCTTAATTGAGAATTTTTTTCAAAGCCAAGCTCTTTCGATTTAAAAAAAAGTGCTAACAGTGACATGTACACAAGGGTGTTTGGAAGCCCATGGTAAACTCCATGATTTCGACGCCCCTGAGAAAAGAAGTATTATTACCAAAGAAAGAAAGGTCAAATTACATTTAAAAATGGATATGGTAATAAAAAGATTATATGTAATATGTACAATTATAAAAATCATATAATTGATGATATTTGTTTGAAAATCATAAAACACTGATTACTTATTCTGGTATTCCCATATTATAATTTTTATCATAGTATGAATGAATATGAGAAGGGTACAATTTCTGGTAATTACTTGATTAAAAAAACTTCATTCGCTTAAAAAATATACCGATTGGAAATAACAATCGACGGGGTTCAAGCTCTCAAAAATAGTCGACACATTTTTCCAGTGTTTTTCTAGTGGCATCGAACAAAAGTAATTTGAAATATAAAACGCTTTACCAAAACTTGTTTTACCTTGCATTTACTTCAAAAGTCTTTAATATTAATGTAAAAATATATTATACGAAAACGTAAGAATACCATTTTTAAAAAATTAACTAAAAGAAAATCTAAAGCAAACTATATTTTAATAAATGTATCATTATTAAAAGAACATTGATGACGCTATTTTATTTTCTGTAAAAAGAAAAAGCTTTAACATTTGATTTAAGACTAATATAAGAAATACAATGGTCAGAAATTTAAGAATTGATTTTAGATAGATTTACATTTTGTGAGCAAATTACTGAGAAACGATATTAGGGAGGAACTACAAAAGGACGTAGCAAAAGACACTGCCTAGAAATCCAATCAGAGGGCTCAAAATCTTTCTTCACTTTCAGTAGTTGTAAAGGTTGGTTACATGCAAGCGAAAAAAGGCATTTCAAGAATTTATTTATGTACTCATTTATACTGTGAAAAAATTCCAATATAAAAATTCCAAAGAGTATACTTTGCATATTCTGTCATACGATGACAAAAATTCTAATTTAGCATATCTAAAAATTATACTTTGAATAGTCATATATACCATGATAAAAATTATAATATAAGAATTCTAGAAGTTATTACTACTTTATATATTAATTTATCCATTTAATATATGTCCACTTTATTAATTTATACTGTGACGAAAATTATAATATGTGAATTTCTAGAAAGTATACTTTATAGTTTCATCTATATTATGATAAAAATTCTAATAAGAGAATTTCAAAACCTTCTGCTTTTTATATTCATAGAAGGATAAAAATTCTAATAAAGTAATTTCCAGAATTATGTTTTATATATTCATAAGATTGCAAAAATTCTAATATTTGGCCATTTCTATAAATAATTTTTATGCATTCATTTTCACCACAATAAAAATTCTAAAAAGAATTCCAGAAATTATGCTTCAAGTATTCTTTAATTATATGATAAAAAATTTATGAACTGAAGAAGGACATTTCAAGAATTAATTTATGCACTCATTTATACTATGATGAAAATTCTAATATAAGAATTCCAGAAATTATACTTTGCATATCCTTTCATACGATGACGAAAATTCTAATTTAGCATTTCCAGAAATTATAATTTATATATTCATTTTTACCATGATAAAAATTCTAATAAGAATTCCACACCTTATACTTTATATATTCTTTAATACTGTGACAAAAGTATACTATATATGATAAAAATATTTCATATATTCATTATTATTATGATAAAAATTATACCACGGTAAAAATTTTAGTAATTATACTTCATAATATTGAAAAATTACAATATGCGCATTTCTAGAAATTATACTTTATTTCATCTATATTATGATGAAAATTCTAATAAGGGAATTTCATAAGAATAGAATAGAAATTTTAAATGTAATATTGTATATATTATTTTAAACTGTAATAAAAATTCTAATACTGACATTTCTAGAAATCATACACTATGCTCATTTATACTGTGATATAAGTTCTAATATAAAAATTCCAAATATTTTTCTTAATATAATTTCTGATACGGGCATTTCTAGAAATCATACTTTATGTATTCATTTGCACTATAGGAAAAATATATTTTTGGCATTTTTAAAAATTGTAGTTTACATAATAATTTATAATATATTATAAATACTAATATTGAGAGGGTCAAATTAGGTCAGTTTGCTGCTAGATACATTCTTCTAAATTTCGAACATAGTTTCGAAAGGTAATTATGTTGGGCAAAATAATTTCAATTTCATTATTTCATAAAGAGGGCAGTTTCACAAGAGAAAAAAACTGAGATTACAAGTTTGAAAAAGCAGCTTTTTTTCAAAATTGATCTGTGCTTAAGATAATAAGTGTAGCAGATTGAAATAGCCCTACGTTACAAATGCGGTAGACAAATAATCCAATCAGCGGGCTCAAAATCTCCCTTCGGTTTCAATGGTTGTAAAGGTTGGTTACATGCTCCCTGCTTCATAAATTTTTTATCATACCACTAAATAATACTTAATAGATAATGTCTGGAATTCTTATTAGAAAATTTATCACGTATTAAAAATTAATACATAAAAAATAATTTCTAGAAATGGCCAGAATTCTATATTTATAATATAATAGAATTTTTATTATATTATGAATATAGAAAGTATAATTTCTGGGAATTCTCTTATCAGATTCTTTATCATAATATAGATGAATAAAGTGTAATTTCTAGGAATGAGCGTGTTATAATTTTTATCATAGTATTAATTAATACATAACTTATTATTTCTGGAATTCTTATATTAGAATTTTTATCATATTTTAAATTAGTACCTAAAATAGTAAAAATGTCCTCCTGCGCTTCATAAATTTATTCATACTTTATTTATTAAAGAATAAATAAAGTATAATTTCTGAATTATAAAGTTTTTAGATTTTATTAGAATTTTCCTCATAGTGAAAATGAATATAAAAAGAATAATTTCTAGAAATGGCCATATCTGAAATTTAATATAGATGACTATCTAAAGTATAATTTCTAGAAATGCTCATATTATAATTTTTTATCATAGTATATGAACTAATACATAAAGTATAATTTCCAGAATTCTTATATTAATATAATTTTTATCGTATAAAATGAATGCATAATTTCTAGAAATGTCCATTTTAGAATTTTAACAAAAATATATTTTTCGGTATACTTTACCTCTGATTAGCATATACGCACCATATTTTTTCCAACAGCTATTCTAATGAAAACTTCAAATACTATCGGCATTCCAAATTTTAAAAAAAGGAAATTTCAATCATA